AGTAGTACAAACATATATCGCTTCTTAATAGCTGTTTTCTTTTGCAATTTTAGAAAATATTGAATATTGTTTTAGTTTGAATTTTTATTAGGTTCATGCTTGATAAGTAAAATATTAAATGGTACTTCTTGATTATTTATGAAATTCTACATATTTCATATCCTTAGTAGTAATTTATTCTTTTATATAGATTATCCAGTTTAGAATTTGTAATGGAACATTTAATTCTTTTTTTTTTTTTAATTTTATTTATTTATTTTTGTGTGTGTGTGTGTGGCCAGCTCAGCGCACCAGGGGGCGGGCTGGCTGGCATGTGGTGCTGGGGGACTGAACCGCGGTCCCTGTGCTTTAGCTAAGCTTGTTCTAAGTAGGTGCTTTAGACCACTGAGCCATCTCACCAGCCCCCTAATTCATTTGTTAATGCTAATAGATTCTGGATATTAATCCTTTGTTATATATATTGGAAATATACTCTTGAGTATTATTTACTGCTTATTGAAGTTTTAACATTTAGATAGGGTCAAATCTATACATTCTGTATTTTGATTCCTGGTAAGAAATATCTTCCCCAAGCTGAAGATTATAAGAATGTTCTCCTTTATTTCTGTTCTGTTTTTCCCAATAAGTAGCCCACTTCTCATTACCATACATAGAAAAGCTCATCTTTCCCCCATGAAATGAATTCACTAGCTTGCTGTCTTGGTTCCTTTTCTCTCCTTTCTGAAGCAGAGTACCTGTATTTAGCTCAGTTTGTGGAGGTTTTGGTCTGTAATACTATGGCTCCAAGGCACTGTGACATAGCATGGGGCAACAGTTCAGGGTGGCAAGAAGACAGCAAAAGCAGTGTGTATGTGGGGGGCTTTTTTCCATATATCTGTATCTATCATCTATATAAATATTTCTGTTTGTTTTCTTGAGACAGGTTCTTACTATTCAGTTCAGGCTGGCCTTGAGCTCAGTTTGTAGCCCAGGCTGGTCTCGTACATGCAAGAATTGTCCTACCTCATCTTCCTAGACTGTTGGGATTACAGGCATGTGCCACCATCCTCAGCTCTTTCCTTATGTTGTAAACAAGCTACATAATTTTTTTTTTAAGATAAGCTTTTATTGTACAGTTCAGACTGGCCTTGAACTCACTTTGTAGCCCAGGCTAGCCTTCAACTCACAGTGATCTTGCCTCAGCCTCTCGAGTGCTGGAATTAACAGGTGTGCACTACCATGCTCATTCAATATATAATTCTTAGCTTCAAGGATTTAGTCTCTTAGGTCTGGGGCCATAATTCAGTGATTGACACTTCTCTAGAATAAGTGAGGCCCTAGGCTTGATCCTGAGCACCACCTGGGGGAAGGAGGAAGAATATCTGTGTCTATGTCTGTCTAGATAGATGATAAAATCCAAACCTATCCCAGGTGAGAACAAAGCACATGTGTTGAATTCTATGTTTACTCAGCTTCAATAGCTACCAGAGCCAGTTTTGTTTCGATTACACCAGGAATCAGCAGACATTTTGTAAAGGGATAGATGGAAGTATTTTAGGATTTGCAGCCCTAAAAATTGAGGCAAAATTGATGTTATGTAAGTCTTTATAAAATGACATAAGGTTGTATCAGTTTATTGGACAAATTCAAGATGTACTGATAATGGGGAAAGGGACATAAAAGAATGGAGACATGTCCCCACTTCCCATGATGTGTGTGATCATTATGTACTGCAGACAGGGACTGGTCAAATAGCATGAAAGTACAAATTTTAAAAATACAGATATGAAGAGCAATGAAATTCTTTGCTGGAGTTGATAATGCTTTGCTTAACTGGGATTTACAATTACTGTTTGCTGCCATCAAAATTTGGGGCAGATGGTCCTGTGATACTGCTGATAAGAAAGAAGATTGTTAGTCTTTGTGGTTGAAAATGTCTCTTCATACACCTGGGTACCACCAAATGCTCATCACCACTTAACAGCATACAGTTTATATAATAGTAGCCTTTATTTATAAAGAGAGCCTTTAGATTTATTGGGGGGAGGGGAGAGCATATCGTAGAAGACAACTGCCTTTTCTCTTATCTGGCTACCTTTCTTTTTTTTTTGCAGAACCGGGGATTGAACTCAGGCCCTTGCGCTTGCCAGGGAAGCGCTTATTCCACTGAGCCATCTCCCCGGCTCCCTAGCTACCTTTCTTAATGTCTTACAAATGTATGAGCACGTTCATGTTGGATTTATTAGTAGTAATTAAAATCTACCATGTGTTCAGGTCTCTTAGTTTTTACCTAATGTCTTTTTCTGTTCCAGGGTATCTTACCATGTTACATTTTGTTATTGTGTCTTAGGCTTTCCTCAGCTGTGACAGTTTCTCATACTTTTATTGTTTTTGATGACTTTGACAGTTTTGAGGAGTACTTATCTGGTAGATTATAGGACGCTGAAGCTCCTCTGTGTTTTATTAGACTAGGTTCATTGCTTTTCTTTTCGAGAGAAAGCACATAAAGCACCACTTCAGTGATATATTAAGGATACCTGCTATATTTATAACTGTTGATACTAACCTTGAGCATGTGCTTTTGAGCACATATATGATGTAAAGAAGGCATTTGAAGCATTTTTTAAAATGTCTTTCTTGATCTTAGTTAGCTATTTAATAAGGTTGTTAAACTACAGTTTAAGCACTAGAGTTGAAAATTAAGTAGACATTCTTCAACTACAAAGGCTGAATGAGTTTTCTAATAGGAGTTTTTGTTTGCACTTATTTGATTTGGAAATTCTGCCTTACTGGATACTAGTGTGAACCCAGAAAATGTATCCACTGCAAATTTGTATAGGAGTGGAGATGAGACTTCTTGTTTGTAAGTTGTTTATAAAGCAGCTGACATCATCAAAGTGAGTGGCTATAAGTTTTACATATAAGCAATGTTTTGCCTTCTAATTTTAGGTGATAAGCATTATCAAGTTTATTGGAAAAGTTAATTTCCAAAGCTTTTCAGTGTTTGATAAAGTGGTTGAGAGTTCTTCCTCAGACAAATTTCAGTCTCAGCTCAGAGCTTGAATAATTACAATAAAGTTTATCTACTGCTGAGCCATTAAACTGCTGTGTGGTGAAGTGAGTCAGGTTATTCAACTCCTATTTCTAACAAAAATCAACAAAATTGATAACTGTGGTTAAGTTTATAGCATATAATACCTTTGACATTACTTGTTTTTTTCACATGAGAACTTTAAAGTATTTCCCATAGAGTGCCTGTTGATAAGTGTTAGGGTGAATAACCAAAGACCTTAAACATCTTATATTTTCATAAGCTTTGCAAATATTACAAATTAAACCCTTTTCTGCTCATTTTAATGCATGAGAAATGATAGTGCACAGTAATTTAGATTTGTCCTTCTTGAATGTAATTGAATACCTTTTGTTTGAATATATCTTCTATGAAAACCTCGTATGAGTCTCTTCATTTTCCCTTCCCTCTGAGATGTCTATCAGTTTCAAACAAACTGGCAATAGGAGTTCCAGTTGTTCAATTGGATATGAACCCTTCTCTGGTGTCTGTGCTGCAACTGTTCTCCCCGGAAGGACCTTTCTCCTAGGCAGGGAAGGGCCTTCTCACCACAGAGACCAGCAGTAGATGAGACCCTTCTCCTCCAGTTGGTGTAGGCTGCAGCTCTGGGACAGCACCAATGTGGTCGGCTGCTTCCCTGGCAGAGCAGAGTCAGGCAAGCTCTCACTGTGTCTCTAATGCTATGGTGGAAACCTACTCTTGTGAACCCTGAGCATGTGGGTTCAGGGTCTCACTACGCACATTTGAGAGGACATCTCCCGCAGAACCTGGCAGTCCTTCAGGACCCAATGACATTAATACAGATATATGCCTCGATATATTGTACAGGCACAGGCAGTAGAGGAAGGAATGTGCAGGACCCCGAGGAGCAGAGATACCTGCCCTGAGTGCCTAGTCTCCGTGGGGTCTCTGCAGTCTCCTCTGGTACCTGCTGACCCCATCCCCCTCAGCCTTACCTTTCAAAAGTACCTGCTCTCAGTAGTACCAGCAGTCTTATTTCTCTCGTGCTTCTTTTCCTTTTGTATTAGATGTCTCCCAATACATAATAAATCCACTCATTATTTCTTTTAATCTTTCAAAGTGTTCAAAGTAAGTTTCTTTACTCTCTTTCCTAGCAGTGTCATCCATTTTCCAGTTAGTGGTCATGTACTTAATTCTTGGGGTTCAGGATATCAACTTACTGCTTAATTAGTGCCATTTTTGTTAGCTTTTGTACGTGTTGACTTTACATATTTACAGTTGTCCTCAATTTGTGTTATGTAGCATTTCCTTGAGTATTTTGTTTTTTGAAATGCTTTGCTGTTTGCATCGCTTGTTTCTGGGGTGGAGAGGTCCTGTGCTAGATGCACAGATCCTTTCTGGTGAGTGGAGTTTCAGTCTTTTCTGAAGTTCTGGAGCAGCCTATTCCAATGCTCATACTCACGGTGCCAGTGACAGTGCCACTGACTGTTTAGGGAGGGAAGAGCAGAGTAGGTGCTGTATATTTGTGCCCATGGCACTGGGACCATGCTAGTAGCGAGTGAATGTGTACCTTTTACCTGTTTCTGGATGCTTCCATCTCCTCAGCCCTTTCTGTGAGGGGTGTGTGAATAGTGTGTTTAGTTTTCAAAACATGATGTTTTTAAACTATAATGAATTCTTCTCATTTGTACTTTTTAATGTTCCAGATTCCCATTCTGTTTCTTTTGAGATATTTGTATTTAAATAGTTTTCTATACAGTATTAGATTTTTCCCAAAGAGAAGAACATTGATTTTTGTATGTTTTATAAAAACTTTTTTATCTCTTCCCTGTTTGCCATTGAATGTGACCAATTCTAAAATAAAGGATATCATAAGTTTTAACTCAGCTCAATTTTAGCTATAAAACGGCTTATTTTTTCACTGGTTAAAAGGGTTTTTGTTCCCTTTATAATTTTTTTTAATTGTTTTTTCTTTCCTCTTGTTTTCCAGCTCTTCTGTGCCTTCCAGGATGACAGGTATCTGTACATGGTCATGGAATACATGCCTGGTGGGGACCTTGTAAACCTGATGAGCAACTACGATGTGCCCGAGAAGTGGGCCAAGTTCTATACTGCGGAAGTAGTTCTGGCTCTAGATGTGATTCACTCCATGGGCTTGATCCACAGGGATGTAAAGCCCGATAACATGCTGTTGGACAGGCATGGGCACCTGAAGCTGGCAGACTTTGGCACCTGCATGAAGATGGATGAGGTAAGGAGGTCTAGGAGAGTGCGGAGTAGGCGCTGCCTCAAACCAGGACCTCATAAAGTGGGTAAAGAGTCATTGAGGGTGTCTAATTACAAACCGGATTCAAACATTTATTTTGCCAGTCATACATTTAACTATATAATATTGGTAGATTTGCTGCATACGAGAGAAAGGAAGAGTAATGACTTAATTATCTTCTTTGTGTTATGTCATAAATATTTGATATAAATCAAAGCGATTCATGTAAATGTTTAATGATTGTTACGGCTGTGTCTAGGTATACCCCTCTTACTCCCTGCCTCCCCAAAGCATAGTGAACTGATAGGTAGGGCTTTTCAGAGGTGACTTTATCTATAGTGTTAAGAGTGTGTAATCTGGGCCGGGGAGATGGCTCAGTAGAATAAGCGCTTGCCTGGCAAGCTCAAGGGCCTGAGTTCAATCCCTGGTTCCGCAAAAAAAAAAAAAAAAAAAAAAAAAAAAGTGTGTAATCACTAAATTAGTCCACCCATCTATTTGGCATAGTTCTGGGTATGGATAATGGCAAGGCCGATCCCACACTAAGGACATGAAGCCTGGATAGAATATAAGGGACAGAAAGAGGGCTGCTGCTATACAGCTTGTCACTTGCTGCTGCTTTGCTAATGTGCTGCTTCTGCCTACCATAAACTGCTTCTCCTATACCTGCCTTGGAGCCAGCCAACTACAGACAGACTGGGAGCCAAATAAACCTTTCCTCCTTTAACTTTAAATGTTGTATTTTCTCTCAGCAACAAAAAAAGTACAACAATGATTTAGGTATAGGATTAGGGCACAGAATCTAAATCCAGGTACATAGATTATCTACCATTATTGGAATTTTTGTATTTTTAACTGAAGAGTTAAGGTAAAATAGGGAAGAAATGTGCCACTGCCTCCCTCCTACCATCTTGTGTCAACCAGAGAGCATACAGTGGAAGTCATCACTTATTGTGATGCTTTACTCATTTAATAACTCATAGTACTAATAGCTTCAGCAATATTAATCTTATAGCTAATCATCCTGTTGATTTATTCATGCTTTGCCCTTCTCTCTTAATGGGGAGTGCTTCTGCTTCCTTTCTTTTATTCTGCTTTTAGATTCTGCAAGACTTTTTTTTTTTTTTTTTTTTTTTTTTTTTTTTTTTTTTTAGGCAAGGATTTACAGGGTGTTCAAGGTCTCACTGCTAGATCAGACTCATAGTGATCTGCCTGTTTACAGCCTCCCAAGAGCTGGGATTACAGGCATGCACCACCACGCTCAGTCTCAATTGCTGTTTCAGTGTGCCTCGGGCGGGGACGGCATAGCAGGCCCGGACATTGAACCCCTGGCCCTTGCATCTGCTTGCAGGTGCTTTAATCCACTGAGCTATTTGGCTGTCCCTTTTGCAAGACAATTTTAAAAGGTTGGTATACAGTCTGTTACTGTGTCCGGCAGCTGATACCCAGTGTTCAGCAGGTAATTTTGATTTTTCCTGAAACTCCTTTTTTTGGTATTTACTATAATACAGTATGAAATGATTAACAGTGGACATTATCTGTAGTCATAGTAAAGTTAGAAATAACTCTCTGATAGAATGATAAACTTCTATAATCTATGATGTTTATACGCTGCATTCTCATGTGTGTATTCTGGAGACAGCTTTGCACAGTGGTGGGCGCTGAGGCAGTACATGCATGCTGGGCTGAACCCTTTGGGCTGTGCATTTATGAAACCAGCAGTGGCAGGGCTACACCACTAAGAACTGCAGAGCGTGAGGACCGAGTCTCAAGGGAATGCAAGCGGCTGCTTTGTGTTTCTAGAGAGGGCTAAAAAGCCCCTTTGAGGTGGCAGTCATGCTGTGGCGCTGACTACTTGTGGTAATTAAGAACTTCATTTGCAGGTTTTCTTTTTTGCCCTCACAGGCAGTAACTTTTTTAATGTATTTAGTACAGGGTCTACAGGGTCTCACTACACTGATCAGACTAGTGAGGCTCCTGTTTTTAAGCCTCACAAGTGCTGTGGTTACAGGCACGTGCCACCATGCCCAGTCTCAGTCGCTGGCACAGCGTGCCAGGGATCGAACCCCCGGTCCCTGTGTCTGCCTAAGCAGCTCCTTTAATCCACTCAGCTGTCTGGTCGGCCCGCAGGCAGTAATTTGAACTGTTTCTGAAGCCAACTCCAACATTTATGATTGACCAATTTTTCACTCTCAGTAAACTCTTATTTCTTCACAGGTAAAACACCAGCAAGTAGACCTTTCCTCTGAAAGAAATGTTTTCACATAACTTTGAGTAACTTTTTGAAAGTGCAGACCTGATTATCTTTCTCTGTAGACAAAACCCTCAGTAGGCTTCTTTGGCTTGTCTTGAGGGGCCGCTCACACAGGACCTGCTACAGCTCTCACTTTGTTCCCGTCATTTAACAGTGTGTACAGTTAGGGTCAGGAGTCACCGAGGAGTGCACTCTGTGCTGCGGTCCTCACGGTCCTGGCCCTTTTAAGTGCTGTAAAAGTCACTCCTCCTGCTTTTGTGCTCTTTTTTCCCCCTGAGCTGTCAGTACCCTTATTCCTTTAACTTGTCCATTCTTCACAGGCCTAACTTTATATGGTTCCTTTGTCTTGCCCATTCCTTCTTCAGAATCTTTGAATGCTAAATAAGTTTTTGTTTGGTGGTTATTTGTTTGTGCACATGCACATGTGCAGTAGGAATTTAGCTGATCCATGTTTTATTAAAGTCTCATTTCTATGGATCCAGGTGAAATTAAAAGTGTCTTTACTCCTATTACCCTTTTAATGTCCCCCACTAAAGTGTAAAATATAGGATATCTTGTTGTGGGTGAGGGATGACCTTGGTGGGGGGGGGGGTCATTGCTCAGCACCAGCAAAAAATACTCTTGTCTGCTTTGTGAAGTCCTATGTAGCAGTGCACAAAAAGTGTTACTCCCATAGTTTGTTCACTTCCCATTATTTATTTCCACACTAAAATTACTTCTATTGGGAAAACAAAGTTATTGAGTCTTGTCTGCCAATTTGAGGATGAGAAAATACTTTTAAAATTGATTTCCCATATTTAAGGTGTTATTAATAACACCTAAGTAAACACATTTACATAAATCATGTTTACAGAACCAACTGAACTTCCTTTTCCAAAGGGAATAATGCTTATCGATTTATTATTTTTAATAGCATCCTTAGGACAAATGTGGGCAACACGGTCTCTGCAGGGTAGGTAGAGGTGCTAAGGGACATTGCTGTTCGTCTGTGGAGGCTTTGGGTAAGAGGGATGGAGTTAGAGTGAAGGAGTGTGTTTGGCTCGTGTGGTAGCAGTGATGCTGCTTGGCAACACCCACATCCCTTGCACAGTTCTTGGCTTTGCCACACCAGCTTTTAGTTATTTTATTACCCTCTAAACACAGATTAGTGATATACCATTTTGCCATGCATAATGACATTGAATCTGTATGTTTCTACTTATGTAGTGCAGAAGTATAACTTTTAAAATTTTGAGACTCTTTCAATTCCAACCTTAATCTCTTTCCTTGTTTTTCTGAGGAGCATTTTTTTTTGGCTGGTTCAAGCTGCCGTTAGGGCATGGGTCTGGTGTGGCATGTGGAGCTGAGGATTGCACTGCGATCCCCCGCACCTGACTGTGTTTGCCCATGCAGGCACTTAAACAACTGAGCTAACTGACAAACCTCTTCTGGTGTTTTTCTGAATAAAAGAACCATTTATTTATACACCCTCCAAACCCTAGAGCTGTTAGCTGTCTCGATCACTTTAATTTCTTTGGAAATATTTGGGGCTTCTTTTCCTTTCCCCAGGTAGGTGCTTTGGGTCCATGTTTTGTACTTTTTACAACTACTTTATAAGTAGAGGATGAGAATAGAATCCTGAAAGTTGTTGCCTTTTCCTTCTTTGGCTGATGAAGCTCCTGTGTTTTAAGCTCATCCCTGATCCCCCACAATTCAACATGTCGACGGACTTCACAGTGTTCAACCCTTCCCCATTGCAGAAGTGGTCACTGTGTTGCTAATGGGAAGTGGGTGAGTTGTGTCACCCATGCATTTCTACACTGCCCCACATTGTTTCTCTGCTGCTTCTCCAGACAGGTATGGTGCACTGTGATACAGCAGTTGGAACTCCGGACTACATATCGCCCGAGGTTCTAAAATCACAAGGGGGCGATGGTTATTATGGGCGAGAGTGTGACTGGTGGTCTGTAGGGGTTTTCCTTTTTGAAATGCTAGTGGGTAAGTAAAGATTTTAACTCTTTTTTCAAAATCCTTTTCATAACACTTTTTGTTGAGTCAAGAATATGAGACTATACAGAAATCACCTGAGTTGAAGGGAAAACTGGAATTTCTAGAAATGTTGAGTCAGTATTACCAACATTGATTTGGCCATGACTGAATAGAATGTGAAAAGCTTGTCATGAAAGGACGATGTCCCCATCAGACATTTCAAAGTAAGGAAATACTAACAAGAGCAAGTGTACAGCTTCAGGGGCCTCCACGCTCAGATTTCTTGATACTTACATTTGTTATACATTTTTAAATATAGGGCTGTGCCAGGCATGGTGGTGCAGGTGTATAATCCCAGCACTCACAAAGGCTGAGGCAGAAGAATCATTGCGAGTTTGAGAGTAACCTGGGCTACAAAGGGAGTTCAAGGCCAGCCTGAACTGCATAGTGAGACCCTGTCTCAAAGATAGATAGATAGATAGATAGATAGATAGATAGATAGATAGATAGATAGATGTTAATATCTGTTCCAGTAGTGATAACTAAGTTTTCTTCAGTGTATATATTTTTGTGATGTTACTGATTTTGTAAACTGTTCTTTTGCTTACTGCCTGTATATATTTTAGGATTGTAATTCCAATGAACTAAATCATGCATATAATTGTTGACTGTTTAATTATCAAGATAAACGTGCTCTTATTATATTTCAGTTTTAGAAAATATAAGCAAATTTAATACATTTGAAATTCTAACCAATATTAAGAATTTTAAAACTTTTCTTTACATCATAGATTTCATTCCCACAATTTCACATCCCTAAAAATACGAGGGTAACCAAAAAAAAATGTCTGTCAAAAAAACATCTTTTGGGTAAAGAAGCCAGTGTCTGAATTACCTGGCTAGGGGTAGAGGGACATATGCCTGGACATATTCCCTAAGGCAAGTATGACAAGACTGATATATAGTGACTTTAGAGTTGAGATTTTTGGCATTACAGAATTTATTTCCTAAAAAGCTGACCCTTAAGAAAGTGTAAAATCTGTATGATAATGGAATATGGCCATTGCTACAAAGTGAGAAAGGGTTGGTAAATCCCACATTTAATTAACAGTTGCTGCACAACATCTTTGTGCCCTGAGTTGCCCTGTCTTGGTGATCTGTATGGAATTGCAAAGGCCTAGGCTCCTGTCCTAGAGTGGTCACCTCAGAGACTCAGGCCTCTGTCTGTGGGTCTCCACACACTCTCAGCCCCCACTAGCCATCTGTGTGTGGTCTGATGATGCTGCAGGACGCATCTAGTAGACTTGAAAGTAGGGTGCCTTTTCCTATTTGCCCAGCTCATCCTAGGAGTTAACAGATTAGGTGCTTTGGAGGAAATGATGAGGCTCATATGAAGAGGCTGTTTAAATTCCACTGCTGTGTTCAAGTGTGAGAGCAGAATCAGTTGAATGGCAATACTGAGCTCACAGAGGTGCTTGCTTAGGTTGATGGGCACTGGGCTTCATCTAAAGGGTTCCATTGCACTAGATTAGCGATGGTGAACCCATGGCATGTGTGCCTCTGCGGACTGTGCATATCCTTGAAAGCTGCAGGAGGTTCCCAATCAAAATGACACCTCTTGAATTCCTTGAGTGTACCCTGTGCCATTTGGAGTGGCTGCACTGGGAAAGCCCAGCTGGTGCTAATGTTACTTGGAGTCCATTCAGGGGACAGGGCCTTACAGCGAGCTTCCATACCTCTGGTGTTTATCAGGAAGAACACTGCCTGCCCAGAAGGTGGTCTGCTCTTTCCCTGCCTTCCTGCGCAGGACCCTCACTGCTGCACTGGAGCCCAAACTCCCTGTGTGAAGTGCTAGACATGCACTGAGCCCCCTAGGTGGCTGTCAAGGAAGCAGTTAGCACCTGCACAGCCAGGGCAACAGCCGCTGGACATACTAAACACCTGAAACACGGCTGGCATGTGTGCAAGGAAGCCAGGTTTCATGTTGTCCAGTTCCATTGTGACTTTAGATGCCACACGGGGTTAGCATGGAATCTACAAGAGCCCATCCAGCTGACCAGGATTCTGACCAACCCCACCCCACCCCACTGAGGGAGCTTGCTCTGAAATTCCTTAGGAAACCATTCACCTTCTTCTGTTAAAAAACTCTAGAGATAGCATTGATTTAATTTGTTTTTAAGGAGCACTGGTGTGGTTAAAGCTTAAATACCTGCTCTGCATGTGTCACTTGGTTTTAACTGGCACCCCAGGCTCAAAGGTCATTAGCTCTTCCATGTACATGGCCTATCAGATGTTGGATGGGAAGTTTACCTTTGTGTTTTCTATTACATTCAGTGTTGTGTTTTCTTGGAATTTTAGGAGATACTCCGTTTTATGCAGATTCACTTGTAGGGACTTACAGCAAAATTATGGATCATAAAAATTCATTATCTATCCCTGAAGACGCAGAAATTTCTAAACATGCAAAGAATCTCATCTGTGCCTTCTTAACAGAAAGGTAACACCTATTAAATTTCTTTGTAAAGCCCTTTTACATTTGTTGAAATTGAAGCTTTGTTGAAATTGAAGCCATTATGTTGGTGTATGCAATCAGACTCTCCCTGTCCAAGTTGCATTTAATTCAGAGCTGGCCTTTTTCTACTGCTAAGCCTGGTGTTGGGTTACCTCACCTTTTTCTGTGCACAGCCAATTGTAATCTGACTCGAATCGTAATCCTCATGTCTAAAAAGAAAAAGAAAAAAAAAATCAGAACTCAGTAAAAGAATGCATTTGGAAAAAAAATGTTTGTATTACTTACCCTCTTAAGGTGGTTAATTCTTATTACTCTTACACAGTTTTGTTTTTTTTTTTTTTTGGTGGTGGTGGGGGAATTGGGGATTGAACTCAGGGCCTTGTGCTTGCTAGGCAAGCACTTATTCTACTGAGCTATCTCCCAGCCCCTTCTCATACAATTTTTGAAAAGAGAACAGTTTGTGTAGATACTTAACAGTTCATAATCATACGAACCGTGTTTGACATGGGAGTCCATCCTCCCAACCCTTTTCATTTGCATTTTAATGGGAATAACTCTGTCTTGGAAACTCCCTGTATTTTAAAAAACAAAATAGATGAACAATGATGTGAAAACCTGCTTCAAAAAGTGAAACTGAGGAGCCATATGATTTTCCTCCTTTGGTCTTTTCCCTCGGTCCTCTTGTTCTCATCCGTGTGATGTGATGAAGTGGTAGAAGCCATAGGAGAGCAGGGAAGGGGTGGGAGAGGGTGCCTGCCCTGTGCTCTGGCTCCCACTTGTCTGACAGCTGCAGCTCTGGCAGACGGCCCACCCCTGCTGGAGTTGATGGCTGCTGCTGGTGCTGCAGTGGCCATCTTCACATTCCACTGGCATACTCTCCCAGGAGAAGTATTCCGAGTGGAATTCGGGTGTACATATTTTTAAATTATTTTCCAAAATTGACCCCCCAAAGAAATTTGTTTATATTTCCATGTTTTTTTCTCTTCAAGCTGAATATTATACAGTTTTTTCATTTTATCCACAGGAAGGGGGCAACAAAAGTTATTTTATCTTTATTGGAGAGGAAAATTGTGTTCATCAGTTATTTGTAGAATATAACTTTAAAGTTTGCTGATTATATGATTAATGATTTATATTGATGAAATCAAAATAAAACCTGTAGGAATGTATAATTTGGGGGCTAGGTGGGCATTGGTAGGGATTGCATTATTAAATAGGGATAACTAGGCAAGATGGCATATAGGCCTGACATTCCAGCTGTGTGGGGAGGCTGAGGCAAGAGGACCGAAAGGTCAAACTCAGCCTGAGCAGATGAGGCACTGTCTCAATAAAATAAAAAGGATTGCAAGGTTAGCTCAGCAGTGGAGCATTTGCCTAATATGTGCAATGCCCAGATTTAATCCCCAGCACTGCAGAGTAAGCAAGGTGCAGAGTTTTCATGAAAGAAGTATCGTTCATGGAAGATTCATTTCAGCAGTTTTGGAAGGAGGTAAGATCTAAGGATTTGATTTATAGACTGATAGGTGGAAAACAGAATAATGTAATCCATGAATGTGACAAGGAGGGCACAGGTCTCCCTGTTTGTGAGCACATCTGAGCAACAAATGCAGTGTTTTGTTTTGCTATGTCTATTTGTGGTGCTGGGGTTGGAACCAAAATCTCAGGCAGGCTGGGCAAGCATTCTACCATGAGCTAACTTATAGGTGAAAGGATGGAATTGTTACCAACAGTTTTCTGGTATTAGGGGTGGTGCTCAATCTATATATAGAGATAATTTATCAAAACAAATACAGATAGATACAAACTTAATATGTGAATTCTTTTAAAGAAAGGAAGGTGATTGTAATTCTGTATTAAGTGTGCTCAGTGCTAGTCCCATCTTAGGGCCATCCTGAGGTTGGAGGGTCTGCAGCTTGGAACACACAGTGGAGCTGCTTACTGGAAAGTCTCAGACACTTTCCATCTACTCAGACTATAGGCAGGAACATATCTCACTTTCCACAGTGCTTACTGTGTGTCATAGTCTTTTTAACCTGTCCGCAGAGATCCTATACTATAAAGTTAAGATCGCTTACTTTTGAAAACATTGAAGCCGAAGCTTTTAGTAAAAATATCTCAAATTTATTTGTTATTCTTTTATTTAAACTGTTGAGCTAATATTTTTTTCATTATTTTTATGATACAATTTCTGACTGCATTGTTTAGGGAGGTACGCCTTGGGAGAAATGGGGTAGAAGAAATCAAACAGCACCCTTTCTTTAAGAATGATCAATGGAATTGGGATAACATAAGAGAGAGTAAGTCAATAAATCTAAATGCTTCCATTCCATCACATTTTAAATCTCATTGACTCCTCTTTTGATATAATAGGCATGTTTGATACACTTTATGCTAACTCATTAAATTGAGAGATTTTATTTAATTTTTTTTCTGTAACAAAATTTAACAAACTGATATGTATAGATTAACAGTATTTTCCCAATTCTTTTACAGTAAACATAATCCACTTATTTATTTTCCAAGTAAATTTTGTGGATCTCAGTTTTCAGATGGGGCAAATATAATCCCTTAACTTGAATTAATTTGAATTACTAAAACAGTATTTATGGAAACTAATATACTGTGGTAAAATAGTATAGTAATTAATTCATTTTTATGATATATGTATAGAGAGAGCAAGAGAAAGGATGAGAACACACATTTATTCATTATAAGGGTAAGAAGTATTTCTACTTAAGGAATGTAAAAAACTGAGGACCATAAAGAATATATATGTATGTTATTCTTGTAATTTTTAGTGCCTACAATAGTATATTCCTTTCCTTATGTAATTGGTTAATATGTATTTAAAGCTGACATAGTTATCAGTAACATTTGAATGCTTTGAAATGATGAAGTGTGATACAATTACACTGTCACTAATAATTTGTCACAGGTAGAGGATGTTTGTGTCCTGTGTTTCAGTTACAAATGAGTCAATTCATGTCTCTTCTTTTGACAGCGGCAGCTCCTGTGGTGCCTGAGCTCAGCAGTGACATAGACAGCAGCAACTTTGATGACATTGAAGATGACAAAGGAGATGTTGAAACTTTTCCAATTCCTAAAGCTTTTGTGGGAAATCAGCTGCCCTTTATAGGATTTACCTACTATAGAGACAATTTGTATGTTGTTTATTAAATTTTAATTATTTTCATAGTCTAGCTATAGGATGATGCCTTGTTTTGAGGCCAAATTATAGATGATTAGTTTGCTTTAAAATTTGAGTTTATTCAAAAGGACTCTGAATTACTTTTAATTTTATTTCATTATTTGATGTTTATAGGCAGTGAGGAAGGACCCAGCTGAGAGAAGTTGACAGTAAAACAAAAGCGATGATCTCTATCTTAAGACCTGGAGATTATGGGTTATCTTTGAAAAAGAGGAGAGATGTTTCCTTCTAGCCGATGGGATAGTGAAGAATGTAATGTTACAGAAGCACGAGTGAGGTAAAGAAGAAGGAAGCACAGGTCTACGGAAGGATTCCAGTCCCAGCAGAGTTAAAACTAGCTTATGTGACAAGACAAGACGAGGCAAGGGAAGTTTAGCATTTTAAATACTGAAAATGGTGTGAATGCCTGGAGGTAAAAAATATGACTTCAGCTTAAGATATTGAAGAGAAAAGAAAATCTTTGTGGTTGATGTTTCATTTTGAGATTAACTTGGCTGAGTTAAGACAAGTGGATTTCAATGAAATGCAAAGGGTGTTATTTTTCCCTCCCTTCCTTCTAGGTTGTTAAACAACTCTCCACCTTGCAGAGAAAGTGACCCAGTACAGTCAAGGAAAAATGAAGTATGTATCCACTTTGCTGCTCCTATTATTACAGTCATGTGCTCAAATACTTAGCGACCCCAAGTTTTCAAAGCTTCATTGGATGCTGCTTTTTAACTCATGACATGGCATCCCTCGTACAGTGTGCTCAGCATGACGCTAGTCGATGCTGCCTGTGGAGGAATATTGAGCCACTGAGAGGCAACTCCTGCAAGGTCTTTGGCAGCACAGCTGGCAGAGAGGGTCTGCACACAGCCCCGTGCCATGGACATGGTTGTCAGGACCCTGCTGCTGTAGGTGCAGCTGCTGGGCACAGGGCTCCTAGCAGTGCCCCACCCTACACTGGAGGTGCACCCCCCACCCCCACTCCAGACTTACTCTGCAGAGCTCATTTTCCTGCTAACCTTTCATTTTTTCCTACCTTTAATAAATGGGAAACTTTGGCACCATTTTTAAAAAGTGCATATATTAAGCTAAGGTTCAGAAGTAGGGGAAAGATTAAAATTCTGAGTTCCTTTTTAGAATGTATCCACACGAAGGATTTTGGTGTTTTGTTTTGTTTTGTTTTTTTTCCTTTTTGAGACAGGGGTCTATTGCTCTGCAGCTCAGGCTGACCTTGAGCTCACCTTGTAGCCCAGGCTGGTCTTAAACTTTCAAAGATCCTCCTGCCTCAGTGTCCCAAGTGCTGAGATTACAGGCGTGCACCACCATGCCTGGCCTGCGATAATTTTTTAACACTGCCAAATATTTTATGCTATTTGGGTATTTTAAGTATTTGTGACAATTTGTAACCCCATACAAAGCTAAATCTCACACACAAAACCATGCTGAACATTTTTTTTCTTATGAAAAGTAAAAAGTAGATAGGGTAATTTTGGTATGGCTTATGGGCTTATGTTTTAGGAATGTTCCAGCATAACAAGTTAGCATTTATGTGAACATATTTTTGAAACAGCAAATAATTTGGGGATTTATTTGAACTTTTCCCTACTTCCTATTTACCTATCTTCTATTTTGCCCTTTATATGTAAAACTGGGTTTTTGTTACTTGAAAAGGAAGTTTTGTCCTTCGTTTCTTCTTTGTAAAGGAAAATCTTTTTTGTCTGAATTGTACTCTGAATAACGTTTTGGCAGTTCTCTCTCTCTCTCTTTTTTTTTTTTTCTTGGCAGTTCTCTTTAAGATCATGATAAGACAGCCCAATTCAGAACCCCTGCTGTATCTCGAGTTGTTCCTATCCCCCCACAATTTTTATACTCTTAAAAAAATCATGATAGTTTATTAACCATTGTTATTCTCCAACTATTTTGTTATGAAATTGTTTTTTTCTTATAAGAACAGTGTTTTTATATTTTCTTTATTGATGTCTACTTGTATTACATTAAAATAAAAGATTTTTTTAAATGCCTAACAAACATTTTAATGTTTGCCCTTTTTTTTAATAGGAAAGTCAAGAGGTATGTTATAAAATATGTTGAAAAACTGAGGAAAAACTATCACAGTAGCAGTGCTTAATGTCGCTACAGTTCACCTCCAGTTGGAGTGCCACCTGTAAAGGAGATAAGCTCCAGCTGTTTTCTACCATGTACCACTTTTGTTACTGCTCCCATGAATCCACCCTTTGTGATGCGCAGCCTGTGACTCGTTTCTACTTGACAAGGACCTCAGTTCGTGTGGAGGAACTCATGTGCTCAGATGAGTACAACAGCAGCCAGAAGCAGCTCGACTTGGCTAATTCATTAGCCTGGATATTCTTAGTACCTTATGCAATAACAGAGTTTTCCCAGGAGATAGGGAATATTTAAGAAGCCACAAACATAATCACTAGGAAGAGTAGTGGAAAGAACACAGAGACAGGGTTGAAAGACCTGTGTTGATTGTGGCACTGCCACTTATTAATTGTCCTGTCCTGGCCTAGATATTGCCTTGTTTGAATTTTACTTCCTTTTTGCTGTCTTCTTAGAGCTTTTCTTAGGATTAATGAGACAGTACTTATAAAGTGACAGATGTTGTACCTGTGGCACCGTAGGGACTTAAAAAGTTAAACCCTTGAAAGAGGAAACAACATAGTTTTTGCATTTGTTTATAAACTAGCATAGCTAGGAAGAGTATGGAGAAGAGCTCTTGTAATTAATTGGCCACACACCTGTAATCCTAGATTTGAGAGGCTGAGGCAGGAAGTTCACTATGAATTTGAGGCCAGCCTAGACTCTGTAGTGATTTCAGATCCAGCCTGAACTACACTGCGAGATCTTGTCTAAAAAAAAAACAAAAACAAAGTCATTTAAGCTCTTTTCAGGGTGCTGTTCCCAGTAATATGTATGGCAGTACAAAAGAGCTTGTATTCTCATCCTTTAAAACTGTAATATATTTTAGTACATTCTCTTGGATATTCTGAATATTTCCTTCAGCTGTATCACCAGTAGTGGTGGTATGTTTAAATATAATCCATAGAAAGCAGTGCAAGAGGCCTCCTTTATTTATAACAGAGCTTAAAACTTGGTGTTGTACAGGATTTTTCCAAAGCAGGAGCTTCTCATCCCCATTTGTATAAGTTTGTCAGACAGGTGTGTGGCGGGTGGCAGCATTGTAGAGAGAGCAGGAGAGCAGGCGCTCTTTTGTCTGTGGAGGTCATGTTGAGCAGGTACACACTGCACCACCAGAGGCCACGTTACACAGAAAAGCAGAAGCCTCACATTGTTGAAGAAGCATCTCATCTTTAAACAGGAGAAGAATTGGTAATTTCTTATTTTTTTGACAGATTCAGAAAAAAATATATACCTTAGAAGAACACCTTAACAATGAGCTACAAGCCAAAGAGGAACTAGAGCAAAAGTGCAAGTATGTAATGTAGACAGATGCTATGTTTTCAAATTTACATTGAAATATTTTATTAAAAAAGAGGTACAAAATAATTTATACCTTTTAGAATTTATACACTCTGGTTTGTCATAAATTAGGATAATTATTCTGTTTACCTGTTTAATTCTTTAGATCTATTAATACTCGCCTAGAGAAAACAGCAAAGGAGCTCGAAGAAGAGGTAAAGCTACACTTTTCCTTTATGAATTTATGTTCCCTCAGTGCTGGGTATTGTACCCAGGGCTGCATATGTGCCAGGCAAGCATTCTGCCACCAAGCCATTTCCCTCGCCCTCATTAGTATTGTTGTTAGTAAAATCCTTTATGTTTGACTTAGAGATTTCTTAACACTGTGGGAATATATATATCTTACAAGGTAACTGTGTTACCTAGATTTCATTCTGTTTTTTTTTGTTTTTTTTTTTTTTTCAAACTTGAGTTATTTTAAACTGCGTAGATACTTCAAGTTAAAAAAAATTTGTATTGTGATTAGTAGCATGATTAAATACAGAAAATGATTTTTTAAAAATTGCTATTCATGGGGCCAGGGAGATAGCTCAGTAGAATAAGCGCTTCCCTGGCAAGCACAAGGACCTGAGTTCAATCCCTGGTTCTCCAAAAAAAAAAAAAAAAAATTGCTATTTATAATATTTAGACCCTTAGGATTAGGCATTGATGGTTCAGTA